CCTATATTTTCAATATTAGCCTTTGTCAGTAGAGGTTTAACTTTGTCATGGTAACATGAACGAAAATGTTTCTGTAATAGATTAATCTTGTGATTGCTAGCTTGTATTTATATTTAAAATAATTTATATCTTGATGAGTGTATCTTCAAAAGTAAATAACTGGATATGTGATGTGATGATGTAAGTGATGTATAATGTTACTCTCTCAGCCTTATGACTAGCTGGATAAAACTTATAGTTCCATGGAAGTGTTGGCAGGCCATGAGCTGGCTCAAATTTGTAGATGTGGCTCTTGAAGATTCCTACATAGTCAGCACTCGAAGAAAAATGTGAGTGCACGTATGACTTCTCCAGTGCTGTTGTAGCTTGAGGTAGCAATGATTGGGCATAAGGATCGCCCGTGTTAGTGTTGTAATTCTCAATATTGTAAGCCATTTGCAGGAGCCCACTGTCGTCTCTGTGCTCCGGATCCTCCTTCATACCCAACTCCGAACGCTTTGAAAGTTGCTAGTGGTAAGTGTACAAATTGGGGCCAACTAGGAGCTCGCACACCTCAAACTTACGTGCTTGAACTTTATCGAAATAGATATGTACATATACAAAAAGAATGGATAGATGCATATGTACATGCAAAAAAAACTCAAAACGGCGGCGAAGAATAAAAGAAGTATGCTTCTCTTGCCATTCATGCGTTCTTACATCCGTTATACACGCGACGTTTGTTCACTCATTCTCATGCTGAACCTGATCATAAGACAAAACTTCTTTGCTGCTTGGGAAGTAAGGATCTGTAATACCGCTTTTAGTATGGGAGCAACCGTAACACAATGATAGATGACAAGGAAGATTACATTGCATTAGAGTCGACGTTTGTCTACACTTCAGCTGCCAGATAGCGTCGAAAACGCTTCATTTTCTAGGTTTTCTGCGGAATATACCGGGGAGGGGGGACGCCAAAAGTCACTTTTTTCATTGACTTTCGAGGCGCTAATAATTTCTCAACTTTATCAAATCTGATCGGACATTTTTACTACCATATTGAAGAGCATATTAAGTACTATCACGACACTCCGCCACAGCCTTCTGGACGAGCGCCATCGAGAGATTCTGGCACGCGACCGCGATGTGGTGCCTGAGATCAGCGAGATAGTCGATTCTCCGCTACCATAGACCACCCAATTGAACTCCGCCCAAACCGGACAATTGAGGGGATTCAGGTCAGATGACCTACGGGATATCCTTTTCTCAGGTATCAGTCCCTTCCATTCAAAGAGGGCGAGAGTTTTTCCAATGTCTTTTAGATTCGTGGGCACCAATAGCTGTAGCGGTAGCAAAGTCCTCTAAGACAGTCACGGGCGACGAGAGGATTATTCTTCAACGATTGCTCCAATGTACTGCCTGCTCTCACTTCATCCCGAGTTTGGTGTACATGAAGGTGATGGGAGAGAGCCAGCTCCTGCTTATCGAGGAACATCTTGGTATCTTCCGCCCTGGTACTCGTATCCACGTCCTCTGTCTGGGCAGCGAAAAACTGCTGATATATGATGACCTCGCGTCCGAAGTCGACTTTTTATTGTCCCCTCTCCCCCTAGTCTCACCTCAGCAGTTCTGGTAGGCACTGTGCAGTGCCCTCGAGGAAAGATTTTGTCGGGATACGAATTGATAGCTGCGTGATGATGGAACCTCGCTGTTCGCGGTCTTGGATGTGCGAATCATTTTGTTGTGGAGGTAGACGATCGGAGGTGGATACCGTTCTTCTCGTGTATATCGTGCAAGACAAGAGAATCGAACAGAATGCACATGGACCTCATCTCGCAGTGATATTTATCTAATGCCAACCGCTTTTGCAACGAACACTTTTTCGGATGACAAGTCTTATGTGTAACGCGGCTGTAGTCCAAACTTAGAAGCTCAAGTGTGCCTCTCTAAGTTAAGTACCCCAAACATCACATGGAAACCGAAAATCTGCCGCGTCATGGTCTCTTTGGCCTTCTATTGCCATGAAATGCGCGGACACCGAATATCATCGGGAAGACAGGATGCACCATCCCTCTTGTACATGGCTCGTGGTCGCGCGAATCGCTATCACGAACGCCAAGACAAGCACCGTAGAAAGGATCTCCTTCTTGTCACAGAGCGCGCACCAATTCAGGGAGGGATTTCGAAGGGTTGAGCACGCCGGTCCCTGAATGGGTAGCGAGTCAAATTATGTTGCATTCTATTCTCTTTCTTCCAAAATTCTATGCGATTAGCGATTATCGTGTCCTAAACGCAAGTTTTTTTTTTTCAATTTTAGGTATAGGGTCATCTTCTTGTGGTCCTTCATAACTCTGCTCGGTTGACAATCCAACCTCGATGTAGATTTCCGAAAGTCGGTTTCTTGGTTACTTCGCTGGCCGTTCGCTTCCAATGACTGTGACGATCGTTCTCCTTTCCGAACCGGGAGTATCCACTTTCTTGTTCAGATTTTCAAAATTTATAGGAGACCTGGCCTGGATAGCGACTCGATCTTCTTTCTAAGCAATCCTTCGCACCTAGCATTCCTTTCCCTTCGTCTCGTTCTTTTGACTCTACTACATTGAGGTCACGTCTTTAAACTATTCAATAGATGCTCAAAATGTCCCCACTGGTGGCTGACCAAAATTGATTGGGCTTCATAACGGGCTGAGGTTCGTGAGCACTTTTTGATGCACCACTTTTATGTGGTTTTTGCGAGTTTGTTTCGTGTAGAGTCGAGAAACCTGTGCTCATGAAGGGAGACGCTTTTCTTAGAAATGTTTGAAGCCGAGATATACGCTGAGTTGAGTCTGAGGCATGTAGAGCATAGTCCTATTTTGCATTCTAATTGAGCGTGTCTCGAAGAAGCGCAGATCAATGCAATTCGTTTTGCTGTTAATATTGAGATCGCTCTTGTATGGTCTTGTAACTGACACAGGAAGTTTTATGGTTCCGGCAATACATGCGTTGGAGGGATGATATCCCTTCATTTCTGTGTTGCTGCTGGTTTCTGTATTCCTGGTTCCTTTCCAACCGATGCACCATGAAACTGCTGGTGAAGAGTATCTAGGGCTAACTCGGAATTCGCACACCTATGACTTCGGTAACCGTCACTTTGCGAGACATTTTCTCATTGCCTGGCTCTTGTAGCCCCGTACTAGGTTTTAAAAAATTGTGAGCGAATAAATTCAATAAAACATGTGAGGACAAATTATTCATCAACCAGGATAATCACAACAAACTATGATTGGCTAAAAAGATAACAACTTAGAAGGGTGAATAGAGGGGAGGAGGCGTAGAGTTGCAACAGGCCGGCCGGAGAACAACAAATGCACCGGAAACAAAACTTCTCAGGATTGTAGTTACTTCTGCTAGACCAGTCAAGTGCTGCACAATCACGCCAAGTAGCTTAAGCGCCAATAAAACATGTCAGATGCGTGTTGACTAGCAAAGACTCTCAAAGAGCGGTTGGAGCGCTTACGCTTTAAAAATGACACAACGTTGGCGCAACCTTATTACACTGTTTAAGAGTCAATCCCATATTTTTTGATTAAGACCATCAAGCGCCCGATCGTTTGGCGCAATGAAAAGAACCTGAAAAACATGAGTTAGCTCTACCACTTGCTTTAAGATTATTGTGACTATAAGGACAGGCAATCAAGTTACCTTATGCGGGAAATGTTGATCAATAGCAAACGCCTGCAAAAAATATATTTTGCTTGAGTTGTGCAGAGTTCGATCTACCATGATTCGAGCAGTCCTCCAGGTCTGTAAGTAGTACGTTGATGAAGCAACAAGGAGGCAATGATCTGCACTAGTCGATTCACTTTGTAGGTCGGCCGCCAGCAGGCCTTCAATTCGTGAACAAATAAATATTGGGAAGTTATACTCGTAGTAGTAGCATCTTTTTTGGAGGGAATGTTGTTCACTACGATGTCCTCCTCACAAGAAGCGGCGACTGCAAAGGGTACCGGACACTTTCATCTTCACACTTTGCGGCTTTCAGCAAGTAGGGAAGTCCCGTATGCTGCTAGAAAGCCAGATATTGAAGACGTTTTTCAAAAGCAGTGGGCACGATAAATCGATCAAGGGGTACAGAGTAAGTGTGCTTAGCAGGAAAAAGTGCCCCTAAGCAGACGCTACTTCTTTAAAGACAGCCCCCGCGCTCAAGTAGTACATGGTCGTCCTTCCTTGTGCAGGTAGTTCAGCCCCCAAGCTAGATACTGTCCCACTCTCGCGACTCCACAGTGAGCGAGGAGCGAGCTACCGCTCAAAGTTCTAGTTTTCTAACGCCCCGCACAGTTGGAGCCGCCCCACAATTGCTAGCTGCCCTCTTGACGAGAACGCCGCTCAGATTGTAGCCTTTGTGGGACGCGGGCATTGGGCGCGCACACTTCACCTAACCCAAGAACTGCATGTAGTTTTTGCTGATCGCACTCGTGCCCCATGAATAATTCTGCTCTCCCTTCATCACATTTTATTCATTGGGAGCACGTACAGTCAACAGCAACCCATCTCGTAAGGTAAAACGCGTAAAAATCACGAATGATGCAATTTCTGTGGTGCAAAAGCTCGACATGCAACCTGTAAGCCCACCACTTCACGTAACCCATAATTTCGGGATCGCCACGTTTTTGCTTGTTTTTTTCCTTTTTCAATGTTTTTTTTCCTTCGTGTCTTGGTCTTTTCATACTTTCATTTCTTTGCCATTGGATGTTTGTCCAACTAGGAAATGCCATAAAGCGATTTGTGAGCCAGGGGTTGCCCACGGACCGCAGGGCGGTGTAACTGTAAGGGAGCAATTTTGTTTGTGGTGTTCTTGAGGGCTCTTGTTGCTTTTTTCCTTCATTGAGGAATTACTTATCAGCTACTGTTTCATAATTGATCAGCAATTATCCTTGACACTTTTACCATCTTTTACCCAACTTTCATGATCGTAGTGCCAGTGGTAAAAAATGAATGCGGTATTGACTGGAAAATATCCTCTTTAGCTGCTCTGCAACGAAATAGATTTAGCGAATATCCACCGCTAACTCGGGACTTCCGGCCAATAGGTGGAAAACGGTCGAATTGCCACTTTCGTCTGCTCACTTCACCTGCTCTCCCAATCGAAACGTATCTAACACTTTTCCCGCGCCCGCTGGACTCGCCCGCCCAGTCCGAGATTATGCCGATACAGATTTAATCCTTTAGCAAATGAACGTCTTTCGCCAATTCCACTGGTTCAAAGTGGTCTAAGCCTGTGCAAAGCTCAAGGGCTGAGTTTTGAACTGCTTCCCTGTAAGGGCGAAAGCAATGACAGTGGCTCAAGAATAAAACTGGAGTCTGGTGGCGTAGTCTTCACCTGATCATCCACTGAGTTCTGACAGAAGTCGTAACCTAACAACAGTTCAGCAGTCTTGTTCATCTGAAATCCATCAATTAGATCCTAAAATTAAACTAACTTGGGACCTTTAGAAAGCTCGCGTACCGCGTCGTGTAAAGTATTCAACGAGAAAATTTTTTAGATAGAATAACCTGTAACTGGGTTTGGGCTGGTTGCTGAAGGGTGATTGCGATCAATGCTATTCCAATATTCATCCATAGAAAACCAAGCAATTTCATCAATATGGAAGCATCGCCCATTCTGAAAAAAGCACCGTTGTTCTTGTGCCTATTCCTATGGTCATTTAATACGTAGGACGTTACTGTGGAACAGAAGCTTTGATTTGTACGGTGATGGTCATCCGCCTAGGCCTAATCGCATTCGAGATGGCGACACTATTTACCCTTTACTGCCCCACTGTTCAGAATGAGTTCCAGTTCTTGACCGGAACACTTCTTCTTTCTCGGTCCAACCTTAGCTCCAGGGGTAATTTGACCCCTGAGCGGGAGTATCACATCCGGTTGAAGCACAGTGCCTCGTCAGTGCTACTGGTGTCCGGTCCACAGGCGCTCTGGGTGCCA